AGGAGCCACACGGGAGAGAAACCCTATCAATGTTTAGAGTGCGGGAAGTGCTTCAGTCAAAGCGGCATTCTCACCGCGCACCAAGCCATGCACACGGGGCAAAAGCCATTTCCCTGCCTGGAGTGCGGGAAGAGGTTTCGCCAGCTCATACACCTTACGTCCCACGAGAGAATCCACACGGGAGAGAAACCCTTCCGGTGCCCGGAGTGCGGGAAGAGTTTCCGTCAACATATACATCTGACTTCTCATCGAAGAACCCACACGGGAGAGAAACCTTTTCGGTGCCAAGAATGTGGGAAGAGCTTCAGCCAGAGTTCGCACCTGATTCGGCACGAAAGAACCCACACGGGAGAGAAACCGTTTAAGTGCCTCTTGTGCGAAAAGAACTTCGGTCACAGCTCTGAACTGGTTCGACACGAAAGAACTCACACAGGGGAGAAGCCCTTTAAATGTCCCGAGTGCGAGAAAGGCTTCAGTCGCAGCTCTGAACTTCTGCGACACAAAAGAATCCACACCAGGGAGAAACCCTATAAATGCTTGGAATGCGACAAGAGCTTCGTCGATAGCACAAACCTTATTAGGCACCAGATAATTCACACGGGGGAGAAACCGTACAAGTGCCCGGAGTGTGGGAAATGTTTCAGTCAGAGCAGAAGCCTGATTGCACATCAGCGGATTCACACGGGCGAGAAGCCCTTTAAATGCCAGGAGTGTGGGAAATGTTTTAGTCAGAGTGGGATCCTTACCGCCCATCGAGGCATGCACACGGGACAGAAACCCTTTAAATGCCTGGAGTGCGGGAAGAGGTTTCGTCAGCATATCCACCTGACCTCCCACCGAAGAATCCACACGGGCGAGAAGCCGTTTAAGTGCCCGGATTGCGGAAGGAGCTTCCGTCAGCACATACACCTCACCTCTCACAAAAGGATTCACACCGGGGAGAAACCTTTCCAATGCCAGGAATGTGGCAAGAGTTTCAGTCACAACTCCATCCTTATTTCTCACAGGAGAACCCACACCGGAGACAAACCTTACAAATGCTTGGAGTGTGGAAAGAGGTTCACTTGGAGCACCCTCCTGATTAGACATGAACGAACTCACACTGGGGAGAAACCCTTTAAATGCCAAGAGTGTGGCAAGGGCTTTAGTGAGAGTTCGCTTCTCAGTAAGCACCAGCGGCGTCACGCTGGGGAAAAACCCTTCAAATGTTTGGAGTGCGGGAAGAACTTTTTCTCTAGCACGCTTCTTATTCGACATCGGAGGACTCACGCAGGTGGGAAACGGCTCAATATTTGGAATGTGGAAAACGCATCAGGAATTGTTTGAGGCAAAAGAATTTGAAGAGGAGAAAATTCTTAGCCGTGATCACAATGGGACAAAAGTTGTCATGCCTTAAGTCTAGAAATTATTTATCAAAAATTTGCAGAGTAAAGCACCATAATTATTCTTTTCATGGAATAAGAGTTTTTGTTTTAGCACTGTATCTCATCAGGAAATTCCAAGAGCCAATGTGAAGCAGAAGTGTACAACACAAGGCAGAATAGCAATATATTTCTCAGTAGATCGGAAATCTATCATCTTGTCTAGGTGCTCTGGACTTCCTTGAAGAGTTAAATTGAAGAAACTCACTAATTTAATTCTTATCGTTTAAGTATGTTTCTTAGTCACTTCAGCTAAGATTCTCTAGGTCACTATTTTTCAATCTTCAGCTAAGATTCTCTAGGTCACTATTTTTCAATCTTAGCAACTTTAAGATGTCTAGAGTCCAACTCTCAGAATTAGCCAAACTGGGGGATTCTGGGAGTTGGAGTTGTTGGAAGAAAAATTCCAGGTCCAGTTCCAAGCCGTGGATAAAATGGAGGCTGGTTGGAAAGAAAGTTGATTTACTGGTGAAGAGAACCACCAACAGCATGTGATTCTGGGACAGCTGACAAAATGGAGTTTAGAGTGGGTGGGTTTTATGAGGTCATGGCTGGCTCTATAGTCTGAGCTAATTTTTTTTTAAATAGAATTTTATTAATTTTCAAAAAAAGTACACAAACAAAACATAAGACATAAGAACATAAAACATCTTTTCCAACAGCTACTTAACAAGACAAATAAGACATCTCATTTAAGTACAATATAGTTCTAAATTATCACATTTCCACACATAACTTAATATGCATCTTATATATTCAACTTCATATCTTATTACTGTTTTCCACCTTCTTACTGTTTCTTCCTTTATTTCTATTCAATTTTATTCATTCATATATTTCATATTACTATATTTCATATTGTTACTATCTCATATGTTCTTATCCAACATTACTCCTCAATAAGCAAATGTAAACTGACAAAACACATAACATAAAAAATATAAAACTTCTTTTTAGAAAGCGGCTTAACCCCGGGTTATAACTTTTGGTACAGACTTAAATTAAATTCATGCTCAGCTTATATACTATTTCATATCTTATTAAAAATTCTACATTTTACATATATCTTCTCCCCTCTTTTCACTCTCTTAATTCTACTTTATTTATTTAATCTCAATTTAAATCATTTCACTTGTATTTTTTGTCCGTTCTTTTTCAATCATCCATTTATCTTTCTCTTAAACACAAACTTTTTCCTGTAATGACTGGTTGAAGTATGACGCCTTTTTATTTTCCCCCCAAATTCAACACTTAAAATTAAACATTATTTCTATTCTGATTCTGCTTAGTACATTCTACATGACATTTTAAAATAAAAAAAAACATATTCTTATAGTATATTAAAAATAGTATTCCCTAACAAATTAGTTAATTAAACATCAATTACACAATCCCTACAATATTCTATTAACACATATTTCAAATACAAATATAAAATACAGTCTTGTGTACCTTTGCAGAATCTCTATTTAAATTATATTTTACCCTTTGTCTCTAAAAAAAAGTTGTTTATTAACATCTTGTTTAATGTCTTTATAACTTCCCTTCGCTTTGTCCCTTCCTTCCTTATCAACTCTAACCTTTTTACCCCCCCCCTCTCAATCTCCAACTTTTTAATCTCCCCTCTCTGTTGTATTCCTCTTTTCCGTTGCTTTCTATCATTATATCGATTTTTCACCTTACTTTTCCCTGTCTTAATTATTTTTTTAAAGCTTAAATTCTTGATTTTCTTCTCCTTTTTACCCTTTTTTAAAATCATATGTCCATTAAAGATGGCTTCTTCTTCATCGTCCCAGCCTCTTTCTTGTTGCAATTCCTGGTAAGCAGAAATCGCCATTTCTAAAAAGCAAAAGATAGATCCAAAAGAGCCATCTTCCTCTTCTTTTAATTTTTCAAACTGCATTTTCAATTCTTCAAAAGATACCATTGTAAACAGAAAAGGATTTTTTTTTTTAAGCAGTCCAAATGTTTTCTTAGTCTTTCAAAAGATAGTTAAAGTCCCAAAGTCATAAAGCAATCAGAGACAGTACATTCAACGCATTCTGTTTCACTTTCTTACTTGCTCTTCCTGGGGGAGAATTCAATTACAAGGTTCCAAGACATTTTTTGGAAGTTTTA